CAATAAGAAAACTACAGAATATATTATGATTTTAACAAAAGTTTTAATTAAATCGTCAAATTTAGTTAAATAAATAAATTAGAAAAAGCATTACTAGTAATAACTAGTAACTTGTAGTAACTTTTACGGAAATTTCATGGAATTACGGCTCCATGGGACACAAGGAGATAAAAACACACGTAACGTTACGGACGAAATACCTAGTAACTTTTGCAGACTTTCGGTGCGGATTACGGATTACGGGCTGTATGTGACGGCACCCTAATGCGTACGGCGTACGGTATGCCGCTTGCCGCTATGCTCGAGCATTCCCTCTCACTTTCAAAAAGTGGTCGCTTAAGATGGCTGCCATGACGTACATCCGTCCGCGGATTTACCTAGTCCTGGCTAGTATATGCTCCCTCCTGTTTCTTTTTACTCAATGCTTGTCATAGATAAGCTTGTCTAGTTTGTCATCACACACATCAACATAATCGACGCATGCGTATTGCAATAAAATGTACAGACAAGGATAGATAGATGTTGAGGACAACGGCAAGTCAGCTATGTCCCTTCCAGTATATATGTTCTAAGGCTCCTTCCAGTATTATATGTTCTAATGTACGCGTACTAAACAATCGGTGTAAACTAAGCCAATATGGCAAAAAGCAATTCCCCCCGCATATTTGAGTTATCTCCCCCTCGCGCTTATACTATGGCTTTAGACTCAGTCCCCCTATTTTTTAGTCCGTGGTTGGATACATGTCCTTATACACGAGTTAGATAAGAAAAGTGGGGGTAACTTGCAGTTCATATTTTCATAGTCATAGGTGAAAAGTGAAAGTTTTACGTATATTTGACATATAGAATTATTATCGAATTCACATAAGATCTGTTCTTTATAGCTGAACTGGTTGCACTAGTTCAGAGTTTATTTTTCTCCTTCCAATGTGGAGGGAAAAAGATAAACTCTGAACTAGTGCAATCAGTTCAGCTATAAAGAACAAACCAATAGGCTTAGTTTACACCAATTGTTTAGTACGCGTACCAAGTATTAAATCTGCTTCTTTGATTGGTGTAGATTTTACACTAAACAATTTATACCTATTGAAGAAGCAAATTTAGTACTTGGTACGCGTACTAAACAATCGGTGTAAACCACGGTGTAAGAATATAAGGTGATTTCACGGCAACAAATTTTTGTGATTTTCCTGTCATTGTTCCACATTAAACCGCTAGGTGGCTACGTGTTGAGGGACTTTAAATATATATATATATATATATATATATATATA